AGATAGATAGATAGATAGATAGATAGATAGATAGATAGATAGATAGACAGACAGACAGACAGACAGACATCTGTCTGCCTGCCTACCTACCTACCTCAAAATTTTTACACCTATTGGAGCAAATTCTCAAATTTCTACACCTACCTAGCTATTGGAGCAAATTCTGGAGCACAGAAGTGTAAAGTACACAGTAAGAAACAGAATTATTCTTAATTTTTATCAACAATAAAGATTCCACTTTACTTGGGTCATATCAGGAACCTTCCATAAAACCTAGTCAAAAGCTAGTACTACTGATTCCAGGTGTGAATCTTGAGAGAATGGAGAAAAATTTATGTATGGTCATAACTGGTGGATCATAAGCTTCCTACGAGACAGGAAGCAGCAGGTGAAGCAAGGCAGAATCACATCTGATACCTGTACAATTAACACAGGGCTCCCCCAAGGCTGCGTGCTTTCTCCACTTCTCTTCTCCCTATATACCAATGACTGCATCTCAAACAATCCATAAAATATTGAAGTTTGCTGATGACACAACAGTGATTGATCTCATTCGAGACAACAACGAATCCGCCTACAGACAGGAGGTTATACAACTTGCCTCATGGTGTAACCGGAACAATCTGGAACTGAACATACTCAAAACCATAGACTTTGGTAGACTTTAAAAGAAACCCTCCCATACTACCATCTCTTACAATACTAAACAACACAGTGTCAACAGTAGAGACCTTCAAATTTCTAGGTTCTACCATAAACCATGACCTAAAATAGACACCTAACATCAAAAATGTCATCAAAAAAGCACAACAAATAATGTTCTTTCTGTACCAACTCAGAAATCTCAAACTGCCCAAGGAGCTGCTGCTACAGTTCTGCAGAGGAATTACTGAGTCAATCATCTGCACCTCTATAACTGTCTGGTTTGGTTCTGCAACCCAACAGGACAGACACAGACTTCAGAAGATAATTAGGACTGCAGAAAAAATAATTACTACCAACCTGCCTTTAATCGAGGACTTGTATACTGCATGAGTCAAAAAGAGGGCTGTGAAAATATTTACAGACCCCTCACATCCTGGACAAAAACTGTTTCAATTCCTTCCCTGAAACGACGCTATAAAGCACTGCACACCAGAACAACTAGACACAAGAACAGTTTTTTCCCGAAAGCCATCACTCTGCTAAATAAATAATTCCCTCAACACTATTCAACTATTACAAAGTCTGCACTACTATTACTGTTAATCGTTTCATCACTCCTTATCACCCATCCCCTCCCACTTGTGATTGTAGGACTGTAACTTTGTCGCTTGTATCCTTACTATTTATATTGACTGTTTCCTAGTATGATTTGATTGCTTATTGTACCCCATGACTATCATTAAGTGTTGTACCTTATGATTCTTGACAAATGTATCTTTTATGTATACTGAGAGTATTTGCACCAAGACAAATCCCTTGTGTGTCCAATCACACTTGGCCAATAAAGAATTCTATTCTTTTCAATTCTAACTGGTGAAAAATAAAATGAGAGTGGGGAGTTTCTAAAGAATCCTGGACTTCATCTCTGGTTAGCAGCAGAGCTAACCTAACCCTAAATTCCAGGTTTATTTTGATCAAAAACTAATCTCTTTTATTGTCAGTGTTGATTGGATTGAATTGTTTATACAACATATAGTTTTATTTTAACCCAGTCATAGAATGGTCAGTAGACAGATCATAGACAAAATAGCCTGATGGGGTAAAATAGCAATCCAGTAATTATATCATGAAACACCAAAACTGAACTACTTTAAAAAAAAAAACAATTTTAAGCCTGAGATTTGTTTGAGGTGTCCTACATGAGTATGCTGTGTTGCTATTGTTTTTTTTTTCTCTTCTTCATTAAGGACAATGGTTTCTGGGCAATAACTGTGAATGCATTTTAATTCCCAGTGGCCATTAGAAGAGATCTGGAGAACTAAGTGATAACATACAGTAATTACTTTTTATGGTGTGAAAGATGAATATTCCCCCCCCCCCCCAAAGCTCCTTTCCCTTCCACATTCACTACTGCCAGTCTGACTACATAACTCGATCAGGGCAAAGCAATAGACGCAATCTACATAAATTTCTGTAAAGCCTTTGATTCAGTGGTACACGACAAACTACTCCTAAAACTAAAATCTTATGGTATCTCTGGACAACTGCAGAACTGGATAGAAGCATTCCTGTCAAACAGACAACAAATGGTCAAAATTGGGAGTGTCCTATCAAATTCTGTACCTGTCAATAGTGGTGTCCCCCAAGGCATTGTTCTAGGACCAACTCTCTTCATACTCTACATAAATGACCTCTGTGATCATATTAAGAGCAACTGCGTACTTTTCGCTGATGATGTAAAGCTGTTCAATACCACAGACAATACTGCTACCCTTCAGAAAGATCTTGACTATGTATCAGAATGGTCAAACAAATGGCAACTTCAAATCTCAACAAATAAATGCTCTGTCTTACATATTGGCAAAAAAAATCAGAAAATAAAATACAAGCTGAATAGTCAAGATCTTGTTGATGATCCAAGCTCTGTAAAGGACCTTGGAATACTCATCTCTAATAATTTAATTGCTAGAGCCCACTGTAACTACATAGCCAAAAAGGCATTAAGAGTTGTTAACCTAATCCTACGTAGCTTTTTCTCTGGTTATATCACACTACTAACTAGAGCATACAAAACATTTGCTAGACCAATACTCGAATATAGCTCATCAATCTGGAACCCACATTACGTATCTGATATTAGCACAGTTGAGAAAGTCCAGAAATATTTCACAAGAAGAGTTCTCCATTCCTCTACTCGTTGCAGAATATCCTATTCCACCAGACTTGAAATTCTAGACCTAGAAAACCTTGAATTATGCCGTCTTTGGTCTGATCTAAGTATGGTATATAAAATCATACATTGCAATGTCCTACCTGTCAATGAATACTTCAGCTTCAACCATAACAACACAAGAGCACACAATAGATACAAACTCAAGGTTAACCGCACCAAACTTGATTGCAGGAAATACGACTTCAGCAACAGAGTGGTCAATGTCTGGAATACTCTACCTGACTCTGTGCTTTCTTCCCCAAACCCCCAAAACTTTAACCTTAGACTATCTACTATTGACCTCACCCCTTTCCTAAGAGGTCTGTAGGGGGCGTGCATAAGCGCACCAACGTGCCTACCGTCCCTGTCCTATTGTTTCTTTCATTTTTCTTATATGTACCCATTTCATGTATTCATAACTATGTATATACTTATACCTATTATCTTGTAAGCGATTGACAAATCAAATAAATCAAATAAATAAATGGTGAATATGCAGCTGCCTTGGGCCAAAGATCAGTTAGCACCATCCTTAAATTTTTCCACACAAAAGGAGGACACTATGTTCCTTCCACAATTAAGTCTTTTCTGGCCAAGTTACTAGCACAGCTTCTTTACAGGACCTTGCTTGGACTCTCAGCTTCGTGTTTCACACCATTGGAAATTGTTCAATCCAAATTTATTAGAGCAATTCTCCAGATTCCACATTGTGTCTCAAATGCACTTCTGTGCCTAGAGACAGGATTAACAAAAGTCGAAGCAAGAATCTTTGTAGCATCTTTAAATCTCTGGCTAAAGCTTAACTTCTTTCCACAAGGCCTTGCTCCATTAATCCTCCAAGATAAATTCTCCTCAGCATGGATCAAGGCTGCCAAACCTTGCCAAACTAGCTTCTCTCCAGCCTCAATACTCAACTTGGACTACAACCAAGCAAAACAAACCTTGCAACTAAGGGTAGAGGACATCGAGAGGCATACAGACTTAGGGAAAGCTCTGTTGTTTCTGGCTCCAGATGCCATTAGATATGTTGTTACTCCTGCCAGCTATCTTTTTGTTTTTTTAATAAAGTTTTATTTGGGTTTTCACACA